CTACCTATGATGTCAATTACAGGCCTCTCTCATCTTTTTAAGTGGGAGAACTTGCACAATTGGTGACTGACTAAATACTTATTTTCCCCACTGTATACACAGGAAAATACAGAAACACTAGAAAAACCAAGGAAGAATAAACACAGATCATGACAATTGTTTAATATTTAATTTTTAATCTTGGAAGAATTATTTCAAATTGGTTGGTTTTCTGGTACAGATATTAGCAGTCCAATCAGAAACCAGTTTTTGGATTATGGTCCCGTTGGGACCCACAACATCTTGCCATCACTGTGTTTGACAGATAGACTCCTCCAAACATCCTTCGAAGATCAGTTGTGTCCAAACAGCTCAGTCTTTGTTTCGTTTAATCATAAAACCTTCCTCCAATAAGCATTTGGGTCATCCCATGTTTTTAATAATCTAAATAATTTCCTTTCATCTGAGGCCAGATTAGGTCCTCTTCCAGACCTCAACAAAGTTGTAACATCCATATGCTGACCCTTTTCCACTAGTGCCACTTAGTGTAGTGTCGGTACAGTTCCGAGCCATTTCCATTAGGCCAGATTCTTGGAACCAGTTTTTTTTTAGTACCTACTTTATTGTGGTTCTAAGTGGTCCCAGTCGACACCAAAATGCGACATCAGAACACAGTTCATCACTGATTGGCTATGGGGTGGAGTCACTGGTTGCGTTTGAGCTGCCTTTACAACAACAATTCAAGGAGCCATTTTTTCAATTGTAGCAGTGACATTAGTTCTGTTTCCACCAAACTTTAATTAGAATTTTTAGCAAATTTTTAAAATTTCAGAACTTATTCAGCAAATTTGTTTCCATCTCTCATTTTGTGCATTAACTATTTTTTTCAAAAAACCCAAAAAACTACCTCCACCAACCACCCAAAACACACCCACTGGAACCAGACTGGAACGTCAATGGAAAAGTACCTGAACTGACCCATTCCGACACTGACCCGTTCCGACACTAACCTGTTCTGACACTGACCGTACCAACACTGAGCGTAACAACACTGACCGTACCAACACTGACCATATCGACACTGACCTCTTCCAACACTGACCGTTCTGGCACTGACCGTACCAACACTGACCATACGAACACTGAACGTACCAACACTGACCATACAGACACTGACTCATTCCAACACTGACCGTACAGACACTGACCGTACCGACACTGACCATACCAACACTGACCATACCGACACTGACCCATTCCGACACTGAATGTACCGACACTGACCTGTTCCGACACTGACCGTTCCGACACTGACTGTAACGACACTGACCTGTTCTGACACTGACTGTACCAACGCTGACCGTACCGACACTGACCTGTTCTGACACTGACCGTACCGACACTGACCTGTTCTGACACTGACCGTACCGACACTGACCCATTCTGACACTGACCTGTTCTGACACTGACCGTACCGACACTGACCATACAAACACTGACCATACCGACACTGACCCATTCCGACACTGAACGTACCAACACTGACCGTACCGACACTGACCGTTCTGACACTGACTGAACCGACACTGACCTGTTCCAACACTGACCGTACTGACACTGACCGTACCGACACTGACCATACCGACACTGGCCTGTTCTGACACTGATTGTACCGACGCTGACCGAACCGACACTGACCTGTTCTGACACTGACCGTACCGACACTGACCTGTTCTGACACTGACCGTACCGACACTGACCATACAAACACTGACCGTACCAACACTGACCATACCGACACTGACCCATTCCGACACTGAACGTACCGACACTGACCGTTCTGACACTGACCGAACCGACACTGACCTGTTCCGACACTGACCGTTCCGACACTGACCGTACCGACACTGACCGTACCGACACTGACCTTACCGTACCGACACTGACCGTATCGACACTGACCGTACCGACACTGACCGTACCGACACTGACCTGTTCTGACACTGACTGTACTGACGCTGACCGAACCGACGCTGACCTGTTCCGACACTGACCTGTTCTGACACTGACCTGTTCCGACACTGACCGTACCGATACTGACCCATTCTGACACTGACCTGTTCTGACCCTGACTGTACCGACACTGACCGTACCAACACTGACCCGTTCTGACACTGACCTGTTCTGACACTGACCGTACCGACACTGACCCGTAACGACACTGACTGTACCAACACTGACCATACCGACACTGACCTGTTCCGACACTGACCGTACAGACACTGACCCATAACGACACTGACTGTACCGACACTGACCGTACTGACACTGACCGTACCGACACTGACCGTACTGACACTGACTGTACCGACACTGACCGTACTGACACCGACTGTACCGACACTGACCGTACTAACACTGACTGTACTGACACTACACTAAGTGGCACTAGTGGAAAAGGGGCATCTGAAGTGGTTTAGAAATGGCTCCAAAAAACTTTCCCAACTTGTTTGAGTCTACAAGTCTCCTTCTTAGATCTTCACTGAGTCCATTGAACTTCCTCACAGTTCTGAGTTTTATCAGATTAGTTCTCTTTATGTTGAAAAAGTGGAACAATGGCTGCCGTTAATCATGATCTCTGATTTTTATTTATTTATTTATTTTATTTACTGTTATTTTACCAGGCAAATCCCATTGAGATCTCAGATCTCTTTTTCAAGGGCGGCCTGGGCCTGAAGGCAACCTATTGTACATGTTTTTGTGTTGTGGGGGACACTGGAGTACCCGGAGAAAACCCACGCAAGCACGAGGAGAACATGCAAACTCCRCACAGAAAGACCCCAGGTCCGAACCGGGGATCGAACCCAGGACCTTCTTGCTGTGAGGCGTCGGTGCTAACCACTGAGCCGTCATGCCGCCTGATGAGAAGTTAAGGTGCTTCAGTCAGTTCAGGATCATTTATTATAAAAATAGATGAGTGTATGTATATATTTGAGCCTGTAGGTGGAATTTTAACCCTGTGTGGTTTGAAAAAACAACCACAATAATATTTAAAGCTTATATCAGGGGTCTGCAGTCATGGTCCTGGAGGTCCACGCTCCTGTGGCTTTAAGAGGTCTCTCTGCTCCAACACACCTGATTTAATGGATAATTAACAGGCTTCTGCAGAACATGAAGTGGTGATTCAGTCACTGATCAGGTGTTGGAGCAGAGGAACAAGTCAAAAAAACCGGATTGCACCTCTCCAGGACCCGATACTTCTGACTTAAATAATCGCTCCATCCTTTAATAAAAAAAGAATTCAAATTAATTCTAAAAAGTACAGATGAAAAACACAAGCCTCATGTTTGTCATTCAAACTAAACCGTCCATATTCAGATCAGCTTTTCAAAGTGTTTATCAATAAGTTTATTATCATTTTGCTTTTAGACTTTAAAAAGCCATGAATGTGTTTTTGTTGGGATGAAAGCGCCACCTCAGCATGTAGAACTAAAACAACTCAGATGAGACGTTCTGGTGAAGTGAGTTTGATGTGATTTCTCATCAACGCTGCAGATAAAGGAAGAGAAGAAGCCTGTGGCTGTGACCGTGCCTGCACAGCCTCTGTCCGTTCTTCCGGGGGGCTTCCTAAAACAGCTGGTCCGAGACTCGGAGAAGGAGACCAAACATAAAGAACCAGATGTCAAAGAGGAGCGAGCAGTGAGTCATCCACCCAAAGTACGAGTGGAATAAAAACACGTCAAACTGACATCAAATACATTACAACTACAAACTGCAAAGTATTTTTAAAGGTATTTTATGCCACAGAACAACACAAAGTACAGCTTGATTGTAAAGTTGAAGAAAAATATGTTTTTGTTACAAATAAAAAAACTAAAATATGACCCCCATTAGCACTCTACTGAGTGCTAATGGGGGTCATATTTTAGTTTTTTAAATCTAATTTTAATCTCATTATAAATCTAGCTGTTCTGTGAACCCGAGTTATTTGTTCCAGAACATTAGTGATCCAACAGCATCAGGAAGACCAAGGAACACAGCAGACAGGTCAGGGATATGCAGTTTTTTTTCCACCAATGTCCACTAAAGCAATGTGAATCTCAGAATTACCTGTATGTATGTACAGGCCCAATACCTGTATTTTTACAAGTATTCATACTTGTACAAAATGACCCGATATTTGGAACCAATACCAATACCAGTGGGCAACGCTAATCCAAAAATTAGCTCCGCAATTTCTAAAGCGTTTATGAAAATATTTAGGTCCGCAACTTCAAAAGCGCTTATGCCATAGAAAAACTAGCGGAAGCTAATTTTAAAGCGCAAGTTCAATTTGACACTTACTAGCTGGCAACAATTCATGTACAATACTGTATATGCACAACTCTGCCAACTAGCGGTGTATGAACTCTTTTACAACTTAATCCTACAACCGCCGATTTCTGGGGATGTGATTTCCTGACCTTTAGCTCCTGGTGTAAAAATTAAAACGTTGTTGAGGATTGCTAGTTCAGCTGCTTCTTTGTCTTTTTCTTTTGTTTGTTGTAGATTTTTCATTAAAAAAGCATCAACAAAGTAATTTTAAAACTGTTTATTGGAAAACTGAAGCGATGCATTCTGCGTACATGACAGATTTGATTTGTGACAGGAAACGAAAGCACGGAGAACAGGAAACTATCTTCCCTTCAAAATAAGAGCTTGGATTTTAAAGTTTTCCATGTAGTTGCTCCAGTTGACCACTAGATGTCAGTCTTCCTCTATCATAACATCTGTATAATATGTTAAATGCATTTTAATTTTAGAAAGCGCAAATCTGCTTATGAATTATAAAAATTAGTAAGACTGCTAAAGCGCAAATGAAATATTTAGGTCCGCAATTAACGGATTTGCGCTTTAGCAGGCTGGTACCCACCACTGCCAGTTTCGGTACAGGAATATTGGTATTAATACTGCTTTACATTGGAAGGGAGACATTTGTCAGTATAATTTTTACGACAATTCTACAAGTTGAGAGAAAAGTTTATTTTAATTTATTTCAAAATGTTTCAACAGTATATATTGTGTTGTATTTGATTTGATCCAGTCAAAGACCTATTAAAAAATATATTTTTTAAGTCATTGTGTAATGTTAGGTTCTAACTCAGTAGGTTCTCAGTATTGGTACTTGGTGAGTTCCCAAACTATAAACTCTAAATCTGTATAAACTCTGTGTATCTGTGATCTACAGGGTTAGAATCAGATATTTTTTTTTTCAAAATATGATCAGAACTCTGATGTTGAGGTTAAAAACTGGAAATAAAAACCCAAAAAAGGAAACATTCTTTGAAAAACTTCGGCTGCAAACTGTAGCTTCATGTTTCCTGGAATGAACATTGATTTTATTTATTGCTGGTAAGAAGGTAAAAGAGTTCGTCATTCAAACCACAACTTATTTTCCCTCCTCACTTTCAGCCGAGCAAACTGAGTGATGGCCTCGTGCAACAGTTCCTCCTCCCAGACCAGACTCCGCCGATCCTGGAGGCAGAGATGTCCCTGAAGGCCGAACAGCTCAACAACAACAAACAAATAAGGTGCAGCTCGGCCCATTCGGACGGCGGCTCCTCCTCTCATTTCTGCAAAACGACTCCTGACTCTGATGGTAAGGCAGAAACCAAACGAGACACGGAGAACCCAAAACAGAAGCAGCAGCAGGAGAAAGGAGCGACGATGGAGAGCAAAGAGACGGAGGAGAGGCAGGAACCAGAGGGACGGCAGGCCGACACCAGCATCACAGAGCGAGTTAGAACGGAGGTCTGTTTGTTTTAGTGACTGACTCCGATTGATCCGGTTCCATAAAGTGAACCAGCTCTGGTTACAGCACTGTTTTATTGGGTCAGTTGGCTTGTAAGGAAATCGTGCCTTAGCAAAAAAATAATATATGCAAGTATCCTTTAAGAATTCTAATTTTAAACTTAAAAAAAAAATAATAAAAGAGTATACTTCCAGTTTACTTTTTATGTACTTATCCGAGATATACTTAACCATGTTTATCTTACACCAGGGCTATTCAACTGGCGGCCCATGGGCCACATCACACCCGCGAGTGACCAAAGTTCGGCCCGCCAATTGTTTCATTCATCTCTTAAGCCCAAACCCCCAGTTTTATACTTTAATTACTCCAAGTTCTTTTGGTTAAACATAGACATGTTTGGTGTCTACAGAAACATCAGAATCTTGGCTAGAAGCTGGTAAAAATATTTCTATAAACACTCAAGACAGTTAAAACTACAAGCAGTTGAAGATAAAAGGATGAAAGTGAAAATAAAATTGGTTTAAAATGTGGCAATCAGAGATGTCAAAATATTATTTGTGTCAAATAGGAGGCATAATGTGTTCTTTTTGTTGTTTTTGAGAATGTGTAATTATCACTACTTTTATAGGGTTCTGTATGTTGTATTCATGATTAAATGCAACAAAATAAACTAATTCAAAGGTAACAGATCTTTTTAAAACTTGGTTTATTTACATAATAACTTTAATTGCTGGGTGTTCGGCCCCTCAGCTGTTGACTGGCAGTTACTGTGGCCCCCGGAGCAGTTTAGTTGAATAGCCCTGTCTTACTCTATACTTGGCTTGTACTAAAAGTATACTAAAAGTTCAAGTATACTTAGTCTAGGCTAATGTTTAAACTTTTGACCGAGATAAACTTCAGTAGTGCACTGAAAGTACATTTTCACACAGACTGCTTTATTTGAAGTATATTTCAAGATTAAACTAAAAGTATACTTAGAAGATTACTTTCAGTATACTTCTGAGTATGCCTTCATAAAGTTATTGTGGGCCAATTTAGTCCTAAAGGAAACTTGTTAGTAAACTGCAAGTATACGTACATCAGTCAATATACATGGTAAATCAAAGTAATCTTAGCAAAATACACTTTTATAAACTTTAGTATATTTAATGACATGTACTCAAAGTATACTTCTTTTTAGTAAATTTATAAACATTATAACAGTATACTTAAAACATACTTTTTATAAACAAAAAAATATCAATTTAGTACAAACAAGTATTAAATTACTATACTTTCTAGGCACTAAAAGTACATGGTGCCTAGTATACTTGATATACTTAAACTTATACTCAAGTATACTTGTCAAAATTAATTTCAAGTATACTACATTTTGCTAAGGGATGCCCCATGTGGGGGTGCATTCCTATGATTGGCTGAAACAAGGAAGACATCTGACTGGTTGCAGACACTTCCTGTTGAAACAAAGGCACACGTAAGTTGAGCCAAGTCTGGAGAGTCTCAAAAATCACTCACAAAATAAGCATCAGTGCTTTGTAAATCAAGATACAGTGTGTAAAATAAGTATTGAACACGTCACCATTTTTCTCAGTAAATATATTACTAGAGGTGCTAATGACATGAAATTTTCACCAGATGTCGGTAACAACCCAAG